TAGGTCTCCAGGGATTTGCCGAATTGCCGCTAGAATCACCTAAAAGGTGAAATATGCAGGTCTATTGAGGAAAGTGTGATCCAGCATGGAACTCTCAGAAGGGATAATCTGTTGAGTTCTATCGGGTTGTTGTAATTAGCGTTGGCATCACGAGCTCCCACTTACCGCAGTTCAGTGGTGGGTTAAAAGAAGGGGCGAACATGTTAGTAATCGAGACACTAGGATTTCTGTGGAATGCGACGGCAGCGGCGAGCTCGAGATCTTGCGCACTTATCGGTCCTTATATTTCCTCAGCTCCCACAACGCACACAATCAAATTGCTCGAGACCTTCCTCGACCGCTGAATATGTTCGGGCTCTGTTTATTTGTTCGATTGGTTAAGGTTTATGAACGTTTCACTTGTGACTCGTATAATCTACCATGTCAAACGTGTATAATTCTGTTTCCACAAAAAAAACCGCTGGCTATTTCGTGGCGCGTGAAAAAATTGTTTGTTGGTGGTAGAAGGTTTCCTATTGTTGGTAATGGCTAAGCATCATCCAGATCTCGTAATGTGCAGGAAGCAGCCTGGCATTGCTATCGGCCGCCTCTGTGAAAAGTACTTGGGACGGAGCCACCCGCTCTTCTCACGTTGGCGTTCTCCTTATGTCAGGTGCGATGGGAAATGTGTTATTTGCGATTCCTATGTCCGACCGTCAACTTTGGTGAAGATTTGCGATGAGTGCAATTATGGTAGCTATCAAGGGAGGTACTATATACTGCCAACCTTGAGGTCCACTTACTGTTGATGCGGAATAGGTGTGTTATCTGCGGAGGCACGGGGATTTCAGATGCCTACTACTGCAAGGAGTGCTGCCAGTGCGAGAAGGATGTACTGTAGACTATAGGGAGTTTTCGAGGTTTTCCTTATGTGGTCCTTTCAGCGCGATGGGTGTCCGAAGATCATCAATCTGGGCTCAGCCAAGACCGACATGTTCTATGAACGGAAGAAATACGGCTTTAAGAGGAGATAGCATAAACGCCCGCAGCGGCATCATCAAAAACGTGCTGTAAATTTTCGTATCGGGAGTTTCTGCTGATGCGAGGTAGTGAGGCTGTGGTGTTGGAAGTTCGTCAATCGGTGGCTATTATATGTAGTCAGCCATAGTCGCCCCTCTCAGTGGCGTAAAATGTAGAGCCTTCTGCTAGCCTTGGATGGCTATCGTGAGGCTGGTCGGAGCGTTGGTAGTAGTCATAATGTGATATTCATCCTGCCCGGGGATACTGTTCTAGGAAGTAGTAGGCGTCCTTCATCTTATTGGAGGTGTGTAGTTTTGACTGAGAATACAATAGAACTGTTTCGGATGCTTTCGTCCCAGCCTATGGGACGTGTTAGAGAATCTCTTCTGTGTTCTCATCCGCACACTGATATGTCTTCCAAAGATTACCCTCGAGAGTATCCTCAAAAAGATGGGCCAGTTCGACCCATTGACCGTCACTATTTTGGACCTTTCCGACAGAGGCATGCACGAGATCAGCTCGGGTAATGCAGTGGGCATAGGGAGCTCGGTGGAAGCCGTGTTTAGGTATCGGGAAATGTGAGAATCTAGTGTGGCTCGATCTGTCGAGGAATAGGATCTCTAAAGGTCACGTCCTCGAATGGTGGTCGTAGTAGAGCCCGATGGCAGGTCTAGAGGTCCTCCAGCCCCTATCGTGCCTTACTCATCTGGATCTCTCAAACAACAGGCTGGCTAAAGTAGTACAGGCATACCTGCAAAGCTGAGCGGTTATGCTTGCGAAAGGTGACTGACCTCAGCGGACTAGCTTGCCTGAAGAGCATCGTTCTGGATGGAAATCAATTACGTACAGTCTGGGATAATGTGCTGAGCTGGGATTTGTCGAGATAGGAATAATAATAGATCTGTGTATATTTGATATAGTGACAGCTCCAGCAGGATAGATAAAAGTGCTCTAGACTGGACTTAGATGCACTTCAGAAATGTGGCTTCTCGAAAACTAGTGAGTAAGGACCCCAGTTTTTCACCCGATATACCTTACCTTACAAATACAACTTGAAAAACGCTTACGGTTTCGTGCCTGTAGCGAAATCATGATATACATAGTATACGTGTGACGTGTTGTAGTAAAGCTCCTTGTCCATAGTATAATATTGTAACTGATAAAGGAGGCCATATCACAAATTGATATTCAGTATATTACTATAGTTATATTTGGTCGAAGCTTATCGCGTAGGAACTATCGCGGACTTGTCTGGAGTATCGGGATGCCCGCAACTAGAGAGCCTCTCGATTAGAGGATGCCCTCTAGCTAAGGAGGTAGTATGCGGAGAAGGCTGCTGGACACATTGGTCAGACTAGCAGTAGATGTCTTTACCTACTCTGGCG